AAACCGAAAGGTCCACTGATTAATCTCAGATAAGAAAGTATAATACATACTCCAAGTATTGAAATACACGCCATCGTGTTGGGATTCAATATTTCGACATTAATTATGACATCATCAGGAATTCCCTGATGATGTCATAATTAATGTCGAAATATTGAATCCCAACACGATGGCGTGTATTTCAATACTTGGAGTATGTATTATACTTTCTTATGTAAGATTTATAATTCCAGTATTATCAAAAGAATTTATTGTGGAAACAGAACCAAACATAATACTTTTGATAATACATTAATTAGTTTATAAAAAACTCACAAACATGCTACTATACTAAAACAAAGATGATGATGTAGTGCATTTGAATGCCTTATATGAGGTAATGCACTAAATATTGGATGATGGTAAACACAATTTGTTCACCAAAAATTAATGTACAGAAATAGAAATGCCCCTACACACAAGTGGATAGAGATATTAAACTGGCCAGAATGGAAATGCCTTAACTGCCTATGGTCTGGTACCGGCTGTTGCAGAGTCACTCTAAAAAAGTGGGGATATTTGACCAGCGATAGCATCACATGTATCTGTGGTTCTTATCCACAGACTATGAAACACCTTTTACTGATGAATATTACGCACACAAGATTATTCAGCTGAGACTATGTTCAGATGAGGCTGGTGGCCGCATTGAATTGGCTTCATTTCCATCAAAATTTAGTTTATTGGTAAGCACTACATGAGATTATCAGATATTGTTGACTTCCTCCAGAGATTTTAGCATACCCTAGCAGTAATAGTGAATTGCTCTATTCATTCTTCTGGAATTTGGTCAAAATGACCTGTTTACTGACACAGAGTGGAATTGAATGATGGCCATCCAACCTTCATCCAATAAAAGAAGTTTTAAAAAGTCCCATTATGTTCGCCCACCAAAAATTGAAATTGATTAAAATATAGAGAAAAGAAGCGATCTTGATGACATCTGAGAATGGTCTGTTAGCTTGTTTAATTTGCTTTCGCACGGAGCTGAGCACGTTTGCCTGTAACGGCTTGGAAACCGGATTTGATGCTCTGTACGGAACAGCGTGACTGGCATCTTTCACATTGCAAAAAGAATAAACGATTTTCTTTATGAAGAAATGTATCTGATGAACGACAGGTATGACACGTTACATATTCCTCTGTAAAAAGAAACAATGGAGAATGTTTAAAAATTATATATTTCGATATAAATGCAAAAAATACAATGTACTTATTAACAAATATATAAATTATACTGACAAAAACAATCTTTCAAAAGTAGTTAAATTATCATCAACATCTGTATTGACATCGTCATAATCCTCTCCACTATCACCATCATCACCACTTTCAACATCATCATCATTAACATTAACATCATCATCATCAACATCATCAACATCATCAACATCATCACATCATCTTCATCTTCATCATCAACATCACCACCAACACCATCACTGACACCATCCCTACTATCATCATCGTGATAACCATGACACCCAAATCTTTTACTAAATAACAATCCAAATTGGTAGATAATCGTATTTTGACTTGGCATCAATTATCTACTCATCAATTACTACACATCAATTATCTACTCACTTATATATCTCCGAAGCACATTTTCAATCTGTTTTTGCTGGAATCGTCCTTTGATGATAAGTTGATTGTGTCCGTCAATCGAGCCACTTGTTCCCAACTCGGCTAACAAGAAGGCTAATAAATGTTCAGGGGGTCGGTGAAGCCTAAAATGAAATCAAACACAATTTCAAAATTGAAGTCTGTGGCACTAGGGTGGGACTGCTGGAGATAATTTCAGGAGCTTTGAAATGAGGAGGTAAAACTAACACATTCGCTGACAGCGATGAGTATACTTGTCCCACATGGTG